TTGATGATCCTACAAAGGACATAGGTTTGATTTCTAGAATCCACATGATAGTTCACAACCAGGGAATCGTTTGCCATCTTCTGACCTACCAGGCATGCATGTGGTACCTATACATGAAGTGAAATATTCATAAGCATGAAATTTTTAAAAATAATTTGAAAAAGAAAAACAAATCTACAATCTGACTTTATGGAAGAAGAACCCTAAATGCTAGTTTTCCAACCACACTAGCAAAAGTCCTCTAAAAGACTCAGAAGGCAGAAGCCCTTAGGACAAGAAAGAAGACCAAGCCTGAGTTTAAAAGATGACATGGCTCCTGGGTGCTACTGTCCTGTCAACCAAACAGGTCCATATATACCCCTCAGCAAAACTATGTTCCTCCTCTCAAACAGGAAATCCCAGTTTACTCTCTGAAAACTGTTGAACTAGAAGCCTCCAGACTTGGGGAGAGTGAGTTCAGAAGATGATGGGGAATAATCTGACTTAAATAAGTGGACCATTCATCCATAGTTCCTGCTCTTTTCTCACTGCCAATAGACTGATGTACAGCCCTCTATTCCATGCCTGTGGTACCCACTCACTATAGTGACACAGTGAAACTCACCAGATACCTACCAGCATCCCTCTACATAGAAATTAAAGGTCTTTCCCACCTAAATTTAAACAATTCTACAATTATGGATCATTGTACCACTGAGTACAACCTGACATTCAGAGAGAAAAACAAACACAGGAAAATAATACCAGAAAGAGGCTAGTAGAGGTAGGAAGAAAACTTGATTTTTAAAAATCTACAACTTACTAATGAAATATATTTTTTAAAAATCTTTGGCACTTAATAACCTAAGTTAAAAGCAGAAACCAAATTATTAGAGACTTTGAATGTATAGTCACTAAATAAAAGCAGTTGAAAGACAAAATCATCTTTCAAAGTATAACAGAAAGTCAAAATGATGGACAGGTTAAAAGACAGTCTAGGAGATTCAATATACGAATACTAGGTATCCTTGAAATCATGAAAAAATAGAAAGAGAAGGAAACTGACCATGACATAACACATGTAATGTTCTAGAAATAAAGAATCACAACTTATCAGACCAATCTTCTTATCAGATCAATCTTTTTAGGCAATGACTGTGACACTAAATTCTTCCATGCCATAGCCCTAGCACAAACCTCTTTGTTGTAACCTTATGCCAATCAAGCTCATTTCAGTTCTCAATGGTGAATTTTAATCTACCTCAATTTATCACCAGACTATTTGCACAAACTCCTTCTCTTTTTTGTTCTCAGGAAAGAGTTAACATTCTGTTTTCCAGCTGCTAAAACATGGAGGTCATAGTTTCAAAGAGCTATAGAACATGGTAACAACATGAAATTGTACATCTGAGACTTGTTTACAGTTCTGCATTATTTTAGGAGTCCCCCCACTCTCCTTTTCTTTCTGAACCCTTATCCTGACCTGCAATGTAGGGCATTTCATAGTATGGTCCATATAGTTAAATAGACTCCAATGAAAACACAACTTGTAGTAACTCAGTAATTTTGTGATCTTGTAAACTTACATTTAAAAAATACATTCCTCTTTCTTAGCAATATAGTAAAGAATGGAAACAAATGAATATAACTTCTAATTTTTTCAAATGTCTTATCTAACAAAATTGCAAGTGTAGCTATTAGGTTTCATGCTTCTTTACTAGCAATCAATTCTGTAACATCTAAATATGTTTTACAGTTGAAAAGGAGAATCATCTACTAAGTAATAAATTACTTCTGTCCAAATTTACAAACTGAAGCCCTAACTCTTAAGATGATGTTGCTTGGAGATTAGGCCACTGGGAATGAATCAGGTCTATGTTGAGAAACAAAGTTAGACAGTCTGCTATGGGCTTAGTGCCCTTGTAAAACTCTCCAGAGTTTATATACATGTACTCTCTAATACCCTACCTTCCTTTCTCTCTGCCATGTGAGGAAACAAAATAGCCCACCTTCTGAGATCAAGAAAAGAGAGCTTAGAAAATAATCACCATAGCCTCTAAGACTTCCAACATCTCAAAATAGGAAAAAATGCATGTGCTTTTTAAACCATCCATTCTAAGGCATTTTGTTATAGCAATCTTCACTAATAAAACAGGTAAGTCTTTGCAAATGTTGAAGGGCTGATGCCAAGAAGCCTCTAGTATATTTTCTTTTACTGATTGGTAAGCAAAAGTTAAAGCACATAAATATATTAAGCACATAAATATATTAGACAATGAAAAATAAGCTAATTCTAAATGCCATTGCTAGTTTTAATTGGAATAACAAAAGGAGAGGAGGGAAGGGGGTCGAGGAGAAGAGAGGAGAAGATTGTAGGGGAGGAGAGGGAAGGAGAAAGGAGGGGACAGAAGGGGAGGACACAGGAGGGGAGAGAAGGGGAGGTCAGAAAAAGGGAAGGGAGGAAAGGGGAGGGGAGGAGAGGAGAGAAAAGGAGAAAGACAGTATATGGGGTGTTGGGGTGGAATAGTCAGTGTGTCCCTGAATATGTGAACTGTCACGGTTACCTTCACCTAAGTCTCTGATGTATGAACCCTATGTCCTGGGATTCAGGTCCCAACAGGGTACCAGAGATAAAAGGAGAATAAGGGAATAGATCTCTTTCTCCTTGACTCCTCTGACTCCTTCAATGGAAGGCTGTTACAAACTCCCTTTAGTTCTCAACCAAGTCCAGTCTCCTCTGAGGATGAAGCACTCCTTCTACTTGGTCTCTAGTTACCAATCTTTGGCTTTTCTAGCAGCAGACAGTGGGTGGGATCATTTTTAAGACTTCCAATTCAACAGTCTTGTGAACTCTCTAGTTATTTTCCCTGCATGCTCACCTATGAAAATAACTTTTTAAAAAAATAATACCTATTTAAACTCAAGTAATACCTATTTGATTATGCTATTTGCCTCGCCCTTGGGACTGGGTCAAAACACACCTTTATTCATTCAGCACTCTCGGTTTAGAATGTCTTTCTTCCTACTATCTCTCTGAACCACTTCTAAATGTGTTTCTAAGTATGCCTGGATGTCACTTCCCTTTGTAACATTTGTGTTACAAACGTTATATATCATCATTCACACTATGAACATAATGTTTGCTCATTTTTTTTTGTCGAACAGCACTTCCTATTTAAAATATATATACATTCTATGTGTATGTGTATTTGTGTGTATGTGTGTGTGTAGGTCATTTACAGTTCAGAAACTGACAAAAAAGAAAAGCACATGACCATAAAAGGATACTTAATAAACTATGAAAAACTGCTAGTTTCTTTTATTTAGATATAATAATGGTACAAATTTTAAAATATTGAACAAAATGATCTAAACAAAGTACATTTAAGTATAAAGGACATGAATAATATGAATGTAATTATCCTTCAGGTAAGTGGTCCTCCTTGTTACTTAAAGCCATGAATGTTTACATTATATCATTGTATTTTAAAATAGTCATTCACTTTTAAAGGATTTATTTATAACGTTATAAAAAGAAGTTAAATATCTTTTTTTCAACAATTCAGTTGAAATTTTTAAGTGTTTTTCAGAGAGAACAAAGTTATAATTTCAGCAGTAGAAAATGCTTATTTTGTTAATGGTTATAAGATAATTCATAAGCAACAGTCACAGTAACAATAACAAAAAAAAAATCAATCCTTTTTTGTACTAAAGTGAAATTTCAGTTTCTGCTTAAAAGACAGCTTTTACTTGCCAAGAGGAACTACTCAAGGATAACATAAAGGTAAAGGGCCAAAAAAAAAAAAAAATTCATTGACTTTTACAGAGATTTTAACTTTTTTAACCCCCAAAAAGTACATCAGTTTCTAGACCTGAATAACGAAGTATATTACCGTTTAGTATTACAATAAAAGCTAACTGTGCCCTTAAGAGTTGAAGTGTCTAAACACTAGTAACAACATCGTATATCAGTTTCTATTTAATTACCTTCACCATGAATTTTGAAGATTCATACTGAAGAAAGAGCAGTTTACCTAATGCTTACTTAATGTCTCCTTGCTGTAAACCAGTATTTTTTCACCAATTTCTTTTTTTTTATTGATTTTGCATTCTTGTTAGAGTCCCAGTAATTTTTAAAAGCCAGAAGAGAATAAAAAAAGTAGTGTAACCAGGAGATTATAATATCTATTAAAATAATTTCAATCATTATTTCATATGGCCAAGGTAGTGCAACTTTTGAAAAAGAAGCATATTAATGTAACATGTAGCACAAGCAGACATATATAAATGCCTTCAATCAGAGCAAAGCAGCAGACACCCAGTGTGGCTTCCACCTAGCGGTAATCATCCATCCCTGGCACAGGCTACGCAATCCTTATCAAAATGCTTGACAACATTTTTTAATACTTGCATATAAATGAACCATCTTAGAGAGGGAACCTAAATACAAAATTCATGTATATTTTATCTCTGCCTTATACACAGAGCCTGAAGGTAAGCATTTATGATTCTTAACAATTTACGTAAGAAACAAAATTTCATGGTATGGAATTTTCCACTGTGTCATCATGTCAGCACTCAAAAGGCCTTTGGTTCTCAAGAATCTTAGATTTGAAGTTTTGGATTTGGAAAGCTCACTGCAGATTTAATTATTTTACCACTTGCATAGAAACCACACTTTGAAATTCATTTATTCAGCATTTAATTTTAATAGCAAGGAAGGTATCAGAGCTCATAATATTATCTAAATAAAATGAAGGAAAGAATAACATAACAGTTTGAAATATAATAAATCCACAACCTAAAGTAGTAACAGTTTTCAAGAAAGGCAAACCTGAGGAGCTAAGGAAGAGCCAGCAATGAATACATTCCTCTAAAATTGGGCTTCAATGAGCCCAGTAGTATTGCGGTACAGACTTAAGACCATGAGTTTGGGCCCAGCTTGGGCTACAGGTCAATACGTAATGAAGAAAAACAAAGAAACAAACAAACAAACAAAACAAAAGAAAGAAGCGACATACCTTCAACTTGGACCCATGAGGTATTGGGGGAGATTTATTCTGCTTGGGTGGGATATACAGCTCCCATTTTCCATATTCCAGTTTTTTATATGGGTGAGAAAATGGATTCCAGCCATCTAAAAACATAAAGACCATGTAAGTAGTAACTCGATAGGACTAGGATTATAAAATAAAATATAATATACTATTTAACTATAAAACTCAAATTTCTTAAAAAAATATGTTTTCTCCCTCAATCCTACCTCTTCCACAAAATGGTACCCTGGGATGTGGAAAGGGGAATACCAGGGAAGTAGGTGGAAGGGCAGGACTATGAGAAGAGGAGGGACAGGGGTTGGCATTGGAATGCAAATATGCTAGCAAGACTAGACACTAGGGGGTTAAGCACTTGCCACCAAGTTCAATGGCATCAATTCAATTCCTGCTACAAACCAATTCTTACAAGTTGTTCCATGAATTCAACACTACGCTTTGACACATACAACCAGATACATACCTAAACACACACACACACACACACACACACACACACACACACAAAGGCACACAGGCATGCATGCAGACATCCATACATGTAAGCACGCAACTAAATATAATTTTTAAATGTAAATAAAAATAATTAAAAAACTGTTTCTTAAATTTTTCATTTGGTTTCTTAAAATTAAAAACAGATTTTAAAATGTTTAAATATAGTTTTAAAGTTAATATATTTATTACTAAAATTAATGTAAAAAAGAGTCATTTTAAAGAAACATCAACAAAGAAAAGTTATATGAGGAAAGGAGAAACATTCTAGTCTATTAAATATGATGCATGCTATGTTGATAAAAGTTTATTGAAATAATTCTATGTACCCAAATTCACAAGAATACGAATGAGCTCAAATAAAATATAAAGCTATGCCTCGATTAAGAAAGGTAGAAGTTAACCTGGCATACAGAGCAATTAGCTACTCTTCGACAGATGAGGGAGAAAGTCTCTCATGAACAACAGCCAACCCTTGCACACATAAGAGCAACATAGGCACATTACTGAGCCAGAGGTACAAGAGCAACTGGTTATACCTACTGCAAGTAATAGAAATGGATCAAGACCTACTAACACGCCCCTAATGCATTCTACCATGCATTAATTTCAAACCTGACGAACAAAACTATAGTGTGCCAAGAAGAAAATAGAGAAAGTAGTTTACAACCTTGGGAGAGTTAGCATTATTTTTCCAAATGAGGCATATACAAAAAATAAAATAAAATAAGTAGTTAATTATTTAAAATGTTAAAAGACTGCTGAATTTGATCACTAAAACATAAGCTTCTCTCCATAACAAATAGAATAACAATGCAATCTAACACTTGTATGAGTTCATTTTAGGAACAGCATAAAAACATTTGATGGGGGGACAAGATGGCTGTACCAGGAGAACATTGCATCTGAGGAGCAGGACAACATTTTCCATACAGCAACCAAGAGACTGAACTCTGGGCCCTAAAACAACAGCAATCCTGTTTCCCAGGTGAGAGGAAACCCCCATGGTGAGGGAAGGTCCACACTCACCCAGCCAGAACCCGGAAGAGATCCCTGGTCCAGCAGGCACTAGGTCATCAGACCAGAGCCATACACCTCCTTGTCCTGATCACCTTCCCAGGCTGATTGGTGAACAAAGAGACTGGGAGTCCCAGTCGCGAGAAAACCTCACAGGGAAGGAAGGAAACGGTACTGACTTGGGTCACCCAGTCTTTCCCTGGAAAAAGTCTCACAGACCTGCGGGTACAAGCCGCCATCACTGAACTGGGCTCCAGCAGCTGGCACAGGCAGTTGCTGCATGCCACCTTTCCAGCACAACCAGAGCTGTGTGCCCCAGGGCAAAAGAGACTGGAAGTCACTGTCAGGAGAAAGCCTCACTGGGAACGAAGGAAACGGTATTGACTTGGGTCACCTAGTCTTTCCCTGGAAAATGTCTCACAGACCTTCCGTTATGAGCCACCATCACTGAACTTGGCTCCAGTCAGGTTGCTGCTTGCCTAGCTCTTCAACACAGACAGAGCGATGAGCCCCAGGGCACCAGAGACTTGGAGTCACTGTCAGGAGAAATCCTCACAAGGAATGAAGCAAAGGGGACTGACTTAGGCCACCCAGTATATCCCTGGAAAAAGGCCCGCAGACCTGCCCAACCAAGGGACCTGCTGTGCGCCAGATAACCTGCTGTTAACAGGAGAGCCATACCCACCCACCACAGATTACTGCTTGGGTACTGGGGCACAGAGCCCCAAACTCAGACCAACAGAAGCCCGGAATCCACGAGATCAACCCCCAGACACTGCTCCAAGGGGCAACCAGTTACCCTTAACAAAACTTACCAAACCACAGGACACACAGGTTATTACCAACAGATCATTAAATTTACAGCAAGAAACCCAGAAGCAGGGCAGCTGTCTTCAGGACTTCTCCCGGTGAGAGGAGAGCCCTCTCAAGTAACAAGGACCACAGTTATCACTCAGGACTCTATGCCTGAGGTGAGCAGTGGCAACTCCTGAAAAACACCGGCCATCCAGTGACCATACCCAAAAAGCTGAGAAGGCTTCCTTCAGGAAAAAACACCTTCCTGCTGAGGAGATTCTCTCCACCACAGGATCCCAGGAACCACCAGAAACTAACTTCGAACACCTAAGATATCCCAATGGGTAGAGGCAAGCATAAAAGCTCAACCAACAAAAGCCAGAGCAATATGTCATCTCCAGAACCCAATTATCCAGGGGCAAGGAGCCCTGGACACCCCAGCATAATTGAAATTGAAGAAGATGACCTAACATGCTCTTGAAGAGGATAACAGAGGAAACAGATAAAATGCATAAAGAACTAGAGGGAGATAAACTCAAAGAACTTATGGCCATCCCTGAAGAAATAGAGGAAGTTGCAGCCAAATAGTTTGTGGCCTTCAGGGAGGAAATGCTTAAATCATTGAAAAAATAAAACAAACAAGGATTGTTCAAACAAACAGCTGAAGGAATTGAAGAAAAATACAGTCAGACAGGTGAAGAGAATCAACAAAACGGCTCAAGATCTGAAGAGAGAATTGGAAAAATTAAAGAAAACACAAATGGAAGAAATTGTGGAGAGAAAGAACATAGGAAAGAAAACAGGAACTACAGAGGTTAGCATAACCAATAGACTACAAGAGATGGAAGAAAGAATCTCAGGTATGGAAGATACAATGGAAGATATAGAGGTATCTGTCAAAGAAAATGTTAAATCTAAAAATTCCTGACACAGACCGTACAAGAAATTCAAGACAACATAAAAAGAAAAAATCTAAGAATAATAGGAATACAGGAAAAAGAAGATTCACTCCTCCAAAGCCCAGAAAATATTTTCAACAAAATCATTGAAGAAATGTTCCCCAACTTAAAGGAGAGGGCAGTAAGAATACAAGAGGCCTACAGAACACCCAATAAATTAGACCAGAAAAGAAAATCCTCCCGCCACATAATAATCAAAACTGTAAGTATACAGAACAAAGAAAAAATACTAAAAGCTGCAAGGAAAAAAGGACAAGTATTATATACTGGCAAACCCATTAGAATCACACCTGACTTTTCAACAGAGACTATGAAAGCCAGAAGGGCCTGGACAGATATCATGCAGACCCTAAGAGAACAGAGATGTCAGCCCAAGCTACTATATCCAGCAAAACTCTCAGTCCTCATAGATGGAGAAAACAAGATATTCAATGACAAAAACAAATTTCAACAATACCTACACACAAATCCAGCATTACAGAAGACACTGGAAGGGAAAATACAACCGCCAAAAATTAGTTTTTTTCAAGAAAACACAGGAAATAAATAACCTCACTACAGTAAAACAAAAAGCAACAAAGCACACAACCTTATGACCACAACCAAAATCAAATTCAAAGGATCTAACAGCCACTGGTCATTATTCTCTCAAAACATCAATGGACTTAATTCTCCAATAAAAAGACACAGACTAACAGAATGGATGCATAAACAAAACCCAGCAATCTACTGTATACAAGAAACACACCTAGGTCACAAAGATAGACATTACCTGAGGGTAAAGTAATGGAAGGCTTTCCGATCAAATGGATGCAAGAAGCAAGCAGGGGTAGCCATTCTAATATCTGATAAAATAGACTTTCAACCAAAATTAATAAAAAGAGATGGGGAAGGACACTTCATACTTATCAAGGGAAAATTCCACCAGGAAGACATCACAATCCTGAACATCTATGCCCCAAATAAAAGGGCACCCACATTTGTAAAAGAACCATTGATAAAACTTAAAGCACACATAGATCACCACACACTAATAGTGGGAGACTTCAACACCCCACTCTCAACAAAGGACAGGTCAACTAAACAGAAATTAAACAAAGAAACAATATCTCTGAAAGAGGTCATAAATCAAATGGACCTCACAGACATTTACAGAACCTTACACCCAAACACAAAAGAATTTACCTTCTTCTCAGCACCTCATGGAACCTTCTCCAAAATAGACCATATAGTTGGTCACAAAGCAAGCCTTAACAAATACAAGAAGATTGAAATAATCCCTTGTATCCTGTCTGATCACCATGGAATAAAGCTGGACCTCAATAACAACAGAAATAGCAAAAAGCCTACACATACATGGAAACTGAACAACATGCTACTAAATGACAGCTGGGTCAGGGAAGAAATAAAGAAAGAAATTAAAGTCTTCCTAGAACTCAATGAAAATGAAGACACAACATACCCAAACATGTGGGACACAATGAAAGCAGGGCTAAGAAGAAAGTTCATAGCACTAAGTCCCTTCAAAGAAATTCGAGACAACTCATTCAAATGACTTAATGGCTCACTTAAAATCCCTAGAAAAAGAAGAGGCAGACACACAAAAAAGGAGTAGACAGCTGGAAATAATCAAACTCAGGACTGGAATCAATCAATTAGAAACAAATAAAACAATTCAAAGAATCAATGAAAAAAAAGAGCTGGTTCTTTGAGAAAATAAACGAGATCAACAAACCCTTGGCCAAGCTACCTAAAAGGCAGAGCGACACCATCCAAAACAACAAAAGAAGAAATAAAAAGGGGGACATGACTACAGACAC